TAAAAATATTAAAGGAGAAATTAAAGAATAATAAGGAGAAATAATATATTTGTAAAACACATTCGTAAATAATATTCGGAAGATAATCGGAAGTTATACTTAGAAGAAATATTCAGAAGAGATAAAAGATATATTATGAAATAATAAAAGAAAGATAACAATGAAAGAATAAATAAGTTAAAGAAATAGTTATAGAATATGAATAGTTGATGCCTAGTACTCGAATAGTATTCTGGATACTCATAGTGAAAGTAATGTATACATAATGCTAATGGTCTATTGACTATGACACTACTGAAACTATGTGAGGTTTGAAAGCTTAAACTAACGTTCAGAATAATAAAAATAAAGAGAAGAAGTACAGTAGTTAAAGGAAGATAAAGAATAATTTGATTAAAAAATAGATGACAATAACATTGAAAAGAAATTATTAAAGAAAATTATCGCTCAATGTGAAGGAAAAGATTCTCAGCAATTGAAAATTAATTTGTAAAACAAATCCTCTTGATGTCGAGTGGCAGAAACGATCAAGAAGGTACAAGCTATATTGAAGCTTATCGAACTCAAAAATGCTATACATTTGTAAAACAAGGGTTATGGTAACTACAGCAGATATGCAATTTAACGAAAGAACTATTCAATTTACTGATATCCCATTACAAATGAAACCTGCTAATATCAAACAAGTTTTTGCTAAATATGGAACAGTTACTAATTTTAAAATGACAGTAAGAGGTATGTGGCAATATGCTTATATTACTTACAAAAACCCTAAATGTATTGAACTATTTTATCAAGCGTGGAGTCGTTTCGTCCAGAATAATTCTGTTCATATCAATCCTTGCACTTTGTCTTCTGATGAAAGTAAATATAGGAAGACACCCTGTATCAAATTAACAAATCTTCCTTTTGGTACCTCTGCAAGTGATCTACATGATATAATTCTTGCTACTAAAGCCAGAGCTAGTTATATTCCTAGATCCAACAACTATAAGCCTTATCATTTTGTTATTTTACACTTTGAAAATGAGGAAGCTCTTAATCATGCAACTCAATAAAATTTTGCTTTTGGTAACAATCAACTGATATGGTGTTCCCCTGATACTAAAAGCTATCACAAATGTGGCGATCTAGCTCATCTTGTTATGAAATGCCCCTTTTTACAAAAATCGGTTACACCAAATAACAAAGAAGAACCTATTAAACCAAAGACACCCACTCAAAACAATTCAATGTAAAGGCTCTACAACAAATATAAACCTGCTGGTTTTAGAAAATTTGTAAATTCTAATCGATTCAACTGTTCTTCTAAATCTTATTCTGAGGCCATCAAAAATAAGAATATTCCTTCACCTCCACCCCAAAAGCCAACTGTGAAAGATTCTGTTTACAATCCGAATAATGAAATCAATAATAAATTGGATCAGATTCTCTCAATTCTTTCTAATATGAAAAAGGATATGAATGAACTGGATGCTAGAATCGCCAAACTGGAATCTCTTCAGGCTTCTTCTCCAATTACGTCTACAGTAATTCCTTCAACTATTGTTAGTAAAGGAAAAGATCCATTAATAGTTTCACACATTTCTCAACCTCCACTAAAATCACAAGATACGTCTAATAAAAGATTTCACATTACTGGATCTTCAAGAGATGACTCTTTACCTTCACCAATTTTGATTCCAAAACCTGACCTCACTGATATGGTGAATAAACAAGCTGCTATTATTGTTGAACAAAAAAGACAGATAGACCTAATGTTCAAACAAATTGAACAATTCGCAATAAATGCTACCCATCTCAAAATTAGATACACCCTGTTAGTGATAGTCTAGTTATGACGCATTAGTATTGTACCAATTACAATTAGCGAATGATGATCCCGTCGATCATGGATCTCAACTTTCTCTAATTTCTATAATTTCTATCATTT